ACCACCGCGCAAACACTTGGCAAAATTTGAATTTTTCATTAGGGGGGAGAGATTGGTGAACTCGTCCTCGCCAGCATCAAGGTTGATGGTTGGACTTGCGTCTTGGACACCGGGCTCAGCATTGCCGGGCTGCTCTCGCACCTCGGCCTCCTCTGCCTCGGAATCTGTCTCGCCGTCTCCATCTTCAAGTCCTTCCTCGGCCTCAGCTTGCAAAGCGCTGAAAACGTCGTTTGCATAAGGCACGAGGTAGACCGGTAGCGAAGCTGGAGGGGGTTGGCAAATACGTCGGTGTCAGATCCCTGGCCGAGGTGTTCGCAGGCGGACTTCCAGCCGGCCTTGAAGTAGATGTCTTGTGTTGCAAAGACTTGCTTTTTGTAGCTCTGCTCGGCCTCATTAAAACCGGCGTTGTTGGCAGCCCGGCAAGCTTTCTTCTCCGACTTCTTCAGGGTATCCACCTCGGTCTGGAGCTCATTTTGTTTTTTCTCGACCGCATTCAGCTGACCGAGCAGTCTGTTATTATCAGTCTTGGCCATCTCGAGGGAAGCCTTAGCCCGGCCGAGCTCGGCTTGGAGGCTCTCGACCTGGGTGGCTGTGTCGTTGGCCTTTTGCCGAAGCCTGTGGATGCGCTCCAAGACGAGATGTTGTTTTTGGATGGCCTGCAAAAAGCAAGTTGATTAGAAACAGAACCGGGCAAACACTTGTGAAATCTTCAGAGAAACATCGACTTACCCTGGCCATTGACTTCACTGACGATTTGACCAACCGAGTGTCAGGGACGTGGTCGGTGCCGACCACGTCGCTTGGTAGTAGCAGAGCTTTGGACAGATCGAAGGCGAGCAGATGCTCTTTGTCAGCCTTGATCGAAGCCGTTGTCGGGATATCTTGACCCCGGTGCTTCAAGTGTGGGCGCCAGGCCGGCACTGGGGCGGGGGCGTCAGATGGATGCTCGGTGCTAAGCTCGGCGACTAGCTCGGCGGATGGGTCTGCCCGAGCTCTTTTACCGGCACGACGTGCAGAGGGTTCTCGGCTGGATTGCCCGGCGGATTGAGAGGCAAGGGCGACCACAACGCCACTAGATTGACCGGCGGCTGGCGAGCGAGTTACGACGCTCGGCATCTCGGCGGATGTGGCGGTGAGCAGGTTCTTGTTTCTGCTGCGCTTGGCCATTTCTTGTTCCTCGGTCAGGCGAATGAGGGGAACGTCAGGAAGGGAAGGATCTGGAGGCGGTGAAGGAGCGCGGAGGAAGTCAGTTACTCTACTCCGGCGCGGAGCAGAATACCTGTAGGTCGGTGTGTAGCCGAGTAGATCGTTGCAATCTCGGTGAGGGTACCAAAGCACGGTCCGAATTGCTTCGACGTTGGGAAATTGATAGTTGGCTTGCAAGGCTTGGATTGCTGCAAAAGAAATAGGAAAACCGGTTAGTTACAAAATAAAGAGTTAAGCTAACCGAGCAAAATTGAGTAGATTACATGAAGAACCGAAGCCCTTGTTTATAAACCAGCCCGGCACCTCGGCCGTTTCGTAATCGCCCGACACCCAGAAAAAATCGTCGTCGTGCAGATCTTTATCCGGGGTGCCGGTTACGATTTTTTCCTTGCCCGGTCTTATCTTCAAGTAATATGCAAGGCCGTCGCCGGTGTGGCCCATTGTGTATTGCCTCAATATCTCGGCTAGACCTAAGTTGGTTCCTAGCCGATTGTTCAATTCGTGAACACCGTTGATAATTCTATAGGTATTGGTGGACACTTGTGTGGGTGCCAGCCCAGTGCGGCGAAGGAACTCGGTGATAAGAGGGTTAAGCGGGAAACGGAGGCCCCCTTCGACAATTGAGAGCACAGTGAAGGGGCATTGGTCAAGTCTGCCCCAGGGTGTGGTCTCCTCTTCAGCCAGTTCGAGATGAACATCGGCCGGGATGCCGTAATCCTCTCTGAAAGCAGCTAGCGCGGCCGGAGTATCCACTAGGAAGCGGAATTTCCCCATTTTTGGCCGGCTTAGTGTATCCCGGCTGAGGGGTTTGGCACTGGTTATTGGATACTGCTCGGTCCTGAGAGCCTCAGGAATGACAGTGGTCCCCTTGGACTCTGCAGGAAAAGGATGGCAAGTGTTAAGTGTGAGCGCGGTCGCGCAAAAGGAGCTGGATTTTAGCTCGGTCATTAAGAGTGCCAAACCACCTCGGTTGTCTACTCTATCTAAGGAGCCCGGTCGCCCAAGCAGACCAGATGTTAGCCCGGTTGAGCGACCAAGTCCTTTTGTTATCTCGATTTTTGCTGGGGTTGAGACAAACATGTTATTTGCTCGGTCAGATTGGTTTTTTGGATCAAAAGAAGACCAGTAGCCCGGTTCGCTCCAGTTCTTCAGTGTTCTTCAGGAAGAAGAAGAACACCAAGAACAGTGGGAGGTTTGGGACGGATTCTATGGCCTATGCCCTAAGAGCTACGTTTTTGTGCCCTAATGCGTGTAATATGAAAGAAAATAGCAACAAGATAAGGGTAGAATGACTTACCAGTGAAGGGCAGGACCTAATCCCTCAAACTCGAAGAATGGCAGAAGAGGACAAGTCAAGAATGCTTTAGCTCTGAGGTCGAATATCAAAGTGGCAGTAGGAGGAGTTGTAGTTTGGGGGCGGTCTTGTATGTATAGGCAGGAGGGAGCCCGCCCAAATTCAAATTCTGGAAAAAACGGCGGGTTGGCTGCCCGATGACCAATGGCAGCCCGCCACGTGTCCCCATTTATGGCTACGTCAGGACTAAAGCGACGGGTTGAAAAGACGAAGAGCCAACCGAGCTACTTTCGACGAAGAGGATGTCAGCCGAGGAATATAACCGGGCAAGTTTGCAGACAATTATGTTAACTAGCCCGGTCGAGGTTTGGCATCTTGAAGACCGGAGAAATGTTATCTCGGTTGAAGTGAGTAATCCCAGTCACGCTTTTGCGGACGAAATTAAGGGGCAATTGAGAGGGTGATTTATGATTTGGAGTTGGGCCGAGGTAGCGACCGAGCAGGTTGAGAGCCCAGCAGCGCATGGGGCCGAGATGATCGACTATTCGCCCAGAGATGGGCTGCCAGAACTTGGGCCGGGCAGAACTTGGGTCGAGTGCGTCCCGCCCCAGACCGTAAAGAAGCGGCTCGGCAAGGCAGTGCTCGGTCGGACAGGGATGCTCGGTCCGAGGATAGCCGAAGCCAGACAAGCCGAGTAACCGGCGCCCGGAAAGGCGCGGTCAGCCGAGGTTACCGTTTGACCGGCAGGAAAGCTGACCACAGGGGGTGCTTCGGGCTAGGCTTTGCCGACATGCCGCCTAGCCCGGTCCTCCTTGGTCTTTGCCAGGGAAGTGCTTGGGTATGAAGCACGGCACGGCGCAGCAACGCATAGAGCAGTTCGGCTGCCGAGCTCCAGCTGTGATGGCGGGCAGTTGAGATTAGGTGATGTTCAGCAAGGTCTATGCTGACAGATGGGATAAGCGGAGCCACGTGTCAGGAGATGACTGGGAGTAGATATGGGGCACAGAGGGTATATAAGCATGTCTGCGCCCCCCATGCGAGACAGATGAACACTTTGTAAGGAAATTCTTACATTCAAACACTCATCCCTCTCTCTCTCTCTATCCTAAGGCGTGTGCTAACTTGATCGTCGGAGGGTTTTTCCGGCCACACACCGCCGGGTAGCTCACCATTGTTTGCGCGCAGGTGATCAGACATAAACGGAGCTTGGAAGAAAGGAGTACGGGCTTGCCGGAATATTTGCTCCCTGTACAGTTGCTATATCTGAACTCTTTCTTGTGCTAACCAATTAAGTTTTTGATACATTCATGCATTTGTGTTGTGGTGATACTTTTTTGTTGGTTTTTGCTCAAATTTTATTAGAACAAAATTTAGAATTGTATTTTCTTCTTCCTCATCTTTTCTTTTTCTTTTTCTTTTTTCTCTTCTTTTCCTGAGGTGTTCACGTGGTCTTCAAAAACAAATTGACAAGGAGGTGACCATGGCAGAAAATATAAACATAAAATTTCTTTAAATAGATTAGATAAAATAATAGGAAAAAAAAAAGGCATATAAGATTAGAAGAAATTGCAATGGAGCTACAACTCATCTAAAACTAAACCATAAATATGTTATGGTTTAGGGTAGTAATATATAGTTTTAAATCTCATGGAACCAAATGAATTTTGGCTGTTAAACGACTTTAACAATCATAGTCCATCCTAAAAAAAGCCATTGGTTCTCCAAAGTAGATTGATTCAAATAATATATGAGCACAAATTACTTGCAACAAAAAGTTAAATTGTTAAATGATTTACTTATACATTGAAACCATCTTAATTTTAAATAATTTATATCGACATGCGAACTGTGCAGCGATCATAGAAGTTTAGAATTCCTCAAGGTAATGGTATGCACTTCAGCATCAAAGTATAAAAATGTCTATTTTCAGTCATACTTGCTCAGTATTTAGTTAATTTACCTTTACAGTAATTGGATTTACAAAAAGTCCATAGGTTGTTGATTTATGAATTTAGTCTTTACAAGCTTTTGATTCAAATATCAAGTTTAAAAGCATTTATCATCTTATTGAATATCCATTCACATTTTAGTTTTGCATACCCAACTAATTAAACACAGTTTCTCGTGAGTTAAATCATCTCATCTTGTCTCACACATTTAGTAGAAATATTTCAGATGTGGGGTGAACAAAGTTTTCACTCGTCTGAGCTCATCATTTTCCATCTGTTAGCCTATTAAATAAAATATTGGATTTAGACACCTGCTTATTGTAACTGCAATTTAGTTACACTTTATCCTTCCCTCTGTTGGAAATTGTGCTTTGTTATGTGTTACTTATAGGGAATCTTAGTCTTAGGTCTATATAGACTTTGTTACTCTTTCATTGTTTTTCCTTGGCTTTTCATTTTTTGCATTTTTGCTATCTTATATAGGCCAATCCACTTCATTTTACTTTGATTTAGCTATTGAAATTATGAAAGTGATGCTGTTTTGAGTTTAGGACAACTTTCAATCCTTGGATGAATAGGTGCTGACAAAGTCAATTCCAGCTTGTAATACATCAAAGAGAAGATTTCTATCTGAAGAAGTAAGTCAGCTCTGAGGTTTTCACAGGAGACATCTCTTCAAGTTCACCCCATTTCTCTCTCGCTCGGTCATTAAACCACCATCATCACAACATTCGAAATGGTTTGATCTCTTTTCTGAGTGAAATGCTTCCTGTTTTCTGAAATGGCTTTATGAAGAATGCTCTCATGCTTTGTGAATCCAAGTGCTTTCATGCCTAATATGCACCCTATGAATATCAAGCATGAGTACTCTACTTTGATAAAAAGAGATCTTCTCAAATGGTTTTAAAGTGGGTTTATACAAAATTAGACGGGTCGCTTTATTTCAAATGGTTTCTGTGGGTTTCTCTAAAATGGGTTTGAGGGTTTTCTAATAGATGAAAATGCATGAGATGAGGGGGAACTATTTGTCATCAGGATTTTAAAGCTCACTTTTTATCATTTGTCTTTCTCCTTTTCTTTTCCCTCAACAAATCGCTAATCTAATTGAAGAACCAAACATATCCTTTAGGGTTCTAAAATTTGTGGCAAAGGACCGTCCAACTTTCATTCATCTCATGGTTGCCTTGTAAATCTCCTCTTTATACATATATATATATATATATATATATGTTTGCTACTTGGATACCAATTGAATTGCAGGAGTTTGAAAATTGATGATAATAAGTGTTCTCTTTAGTTATTGATTGGTTGTCCTTTTCATTTTTCGTTCCTATTTGAGAATGGAAATGAAGAACCATATTTACCTCTCAATCTTACAATTACTAAACGTTTGATTCTCCACTTCTTGTTTCGTTTTTGTTCTTTTAACCATACCCTGCTGTGCCATTGGCTAAGTGAATTTATACCGAATAACAAAGGAAGCACGTTAAAGTGCAGCTTCATTTCATTGAAAATATTTTGTTGGCAATTCTTTTGAGACCAACTAAAAGGCCAAACTCTTTGTATGGCCCAAGTTACACATAAAAATCGGTCCTTAATGCCTAAGACTTAATTCTTACAACTGAATCATGCAATCATATTGTAGACGTCCCCGAACGCTCCCGGGAGGGTGAGCTCCCGTTCCGTTCATTTGGGGTCACTACAGCATTAGGTCTCTCAAATTTGTCATGGTTCTAAGTCTGAACCAAAGAGTCCAAATCCGGCAAATCGTTTTGAGAAAACAGATTTTTGAAAGAGGTGCCAAACATGGACTGCTTTGCCAGATACAGAGTCGCCACCTAAATATTTTATTTCGGGAAATTTAGGAAACCCTGACTCGTTGCCTAAGGCCACGTGTCCGTCATCACCAAAGTTGCCTCGGCTCGGGAACTTGGGTACGATTGGGGAAGGTCACTTCGTGAGCACCCCCGCTCGCCCGATCAAAGATCGGCCTCTACTAACCATGATATCTATTTTTGAAAATATTGTATGTTCTTATTCCGGTTATTAGCCTAGGTTACTATGTGATGCGCGCAGCATACATGTATAGATCGGGTCGCCCGAATTGGAACAAAACTACTCACAAGTAGGCTTAAAATGCAGGTTTTGCCACCCTCGGGTGGGCTTAGAAAAGATGGTTTTGCCACTATCTAGTGGGCTTAAAACAAACAGTTGATGAATTGTCCCAATCCAAATAACCCAACCTTCACCCACAGGCATTCAGGCAGTTATATCACATAAGCAAATAGCCTCATGGCAAGCATGTTATCATGGCAGTCCTTCACACGCATGCAAGGATGCTAAAGCATAGGACTTACCGAGTACTCCAAGCTAAAAAAAGAAGTTTATTAGAAATCCATGCATGGCCCTAATTATACAAAAATGCCTAATGCAACACATGCAAAATGCAACTATAGCAGGCTCGGCTATTCTAAGATGGCATATGAAATGCTACAACTATCATGTATTCAATTTGGAATTGAAAGTACAATGCAGTTAGTATGATGCGCCGAGCCCGGTGCATGCAAAACAGATGAATGATGCAAACATGCTGTCATACTGTATGCTAACTGAAATATGCCCTAATCTAACCATCATAAGAGCAGAGGGTCCGAATAAATATACAGTCCTAAATAAATAATTACAGTCCCGAATAAAAGAATAATACAGTCCAAATATTACAGTCCAAATAATATACAAATTCCTAATTAATTAACAAATTAACTAAAAAAGCTGTAAAACTAGCATGCAAGCCAGGGGCTGCCTTGCTTTTGATGAGTGATGTATGTTTAGGCTGCCTTGCGCGGAAATCCACCGGGATGCCCCAATTAGCCTCTGTTTACACCTGTTCTTGAAATGCGTGCCAAGCCCCGAAAAAGTTGCTGATTCTTCATTTGCTGCAACAGAGAGCAGGAAAGGAGCATAGCAATGTATTTTCACAAATATATGCATGCCTCGATCCTCGTGCCACCAATCACGCATACCGAGGCATGATGGCCGAGGAGTCGAATTGCACAATTCAATATAGAATGAATGCACATGAAAACACAACAAGACCTAACTCCATCATGGATGATCCGGAGTGTCGGTGACTGGGGAATTGAGATACATTCCGTCACTCGGAGTACGAAACGCACCTCGTTTCCCGTGCCCAGGCTAACTCCTATCCCGAACACGAAGCAATATGCATGACATGCATGAAATACAACTAAGATACAATCCTAACATACACAATGTCATGGAATGGCATACACGCTGCACGAGGTAATACACAACCGAGCATACACAATGCTATGGATGAAATGGCATACGCAATGCAATAATGGGCTTACACCAATATGAGAGAGCCTCAGCCACACTCACATAGGAGGCCATCAGATGAAAACAAGACAACTCGAAATGCGTGCACGCGGGCACGCAAACCGAGAACCGACCCTCAGGCACCGAAATGCCACTCTAATGAGACATGGCAAAGACATGGAATATGATATGAAAATATGCAAAAATCAGTAGCAAAATGAGGGGGAAAACAGCCCCGAAACAAGGGGAAATGGCAACCGATGCACGGAACGAAACCGAAATGCAACATTAGGCACATGAAATGGCTTACAGCTATACAAAGCATGCATAATTGGCACATGGAATGAAAAGACAGAAGCAAGGCAGCCCTAAAATAAGCACTTCTTTAGTTCAAATCATGGCCAAACAGCAGACAGAAATAGGGCAAAACTAGCATGCAAAAATGGCCCTAAATATGAGATTAAGAAGCAACTCACAGCTGCTGGCCTCAAACAGATTAGGGCCCTTCAATAAAGTTGAAGAGGGGCCAAAAACATGATTTTTTACAGTTTATGGAAAATCACAAAAACCAGCACAGATATGGCTAAACTCTCATGCAAGAAATGAGCCAAAAGATGGACAAAGGAGCAAGTGGTAGATGCAACGCCCAAACAGAAAAAAACTCTTCTACAACACTGAAGAGGGACCAAAAATATAACACTTTACAGTTGATGGCCGGACCCAAAACAGTATGCATACAGGCCAAAAATATCATGCAAAATATGGCCAAAAGGAGAGATATAACACAAAGTATATAAAGGATGTCTCAAACAGTGAAACACCCTCAATGAAACATGAAGAAGAGGCCAAAATAAGACTGTTTCCAGTTCTGAAAATTGCCCAAAAATAGAAGCACAATAGGCTAATAAATCATGTAAAAAAGGGGATTAAAAGAGAGATACAACACAAAGTATAGGAAGGGTGCCTCAAACAGTGAAGGACCCTCAATTAAACATGAAGAATGGGCCAAAATAATACCTTTTCTAGCTCTAAAAATCGTCCAAAAATGGAAGCATAATAGGCTGCCAAGTCATGCAAAAAAAGGGGACCAAAGAGGGATATAACATGAAGTGTATGAAAGATGCCTCAAACCATGAAAGGCCCTCAATGAAACATCAATAATGGGCCAAAATAAGACTGTTTTCAGTTCTGTAAAATGACCAAAAACAGAAGCACAAGGAGCTGCCAAGTCATGCAAAAATGGGGACCAAAGAGAGATATAATGACAAGTAGCACATGGAGGTCCCAAACAGTGATGAGCCCTTCTTAAATGTTGAAGAGGGGCTCAAAATAAACCTACTTACAGTTTACATCATGCTCCAAAACAGATCACACACAAGCTAAAAATATCATGCAAGAAAATGACATTCTAGAGGGATAATGAAGCAAGTGCAAGATGGGGGGCTCAAACAGTGTTGAGCCCTTAAGCAAAAGTGAAAAAGAGCTCAAACGAAGGCCACTTTCAGTTAGGTCCGGAGCTCAAAATAGTAAGCATATATGGCTAAGAAATGTTGTAAAAATGAGCTCAAAAAGAGAGAGATGGTACTCACCCTTGAAGACCAAACTTTGGTTGCTTCTTGGCTTGAGAAGTGGTGCCTCTTAGCTTCTGGAAAGCCCCTCAAGCTGCTGGAAATGGAGTAGTGGTGGTGGTGCTTGGTGGTGATGAAGAAATGAGGTAGAACTTAGGAGTTTTCAAGGAAAAATGAGAGAGATGGAGGAAGATATGTATGTATATGCTTGAAACAATTTTTCTCACCCTTAATACAAGAGATGGCAGCTGGTTATATGGACCAAGGAGAGGGGGAGCATGGAGGGAAAGGGTGGGGGAAAAGGACCAAGTCCTTTCCCTAACAGCTGTCCCCCGGATCAAGATATTTTCTGGGGGAAACAGCTATACAGCTGTAAAGTGCATGTTGTGAGGATCATGGCCGGCCATTTTTTGGAGCTGCAGGTGGTCGGCCGGCCACCCTCCCTAGCCGGCCGGCTAGGGGTCAAAAAGGTCAAGGTGATTTTCTGGCCGGCCATCACAAAAAGGTGTCCTCCCAGGTGCTCTCAACACAACCCTGTGGTTCAAAATTGGCAATTGTAAAACAGGAGAGAGAATGGGCCATTTCTAGGGGGGGTCAAAAGGGTCAAGCAACATTAGTGGCCGGCCACCAACTTTTAGGGTCCTCCCATGTGTGTACATCACAAATATGTGGTTAAAAGTTCAAGAAAATGGCCCAAAGGTGTTCAACATTGGCTCGGAAAGAGGGGGACGTATCTCAATTCCCCAGTCACCGACACTCCGGATCATCCATGATGGAGTTAGGCTGCTTTACAGTTTCCAAATTCGAACCACAGTGTTGTGATGAGAGGACC